CCCTCTCCAGACTGATGCAACAACCAAGAGACGAGGCTGGAAAATCTTAGCTCGCCTTCATACGATACAGAAGACTCGAACTCTGTTCTTCGAGGTACAAAGCGCAAACAAAGTTTCGCAAAGACTTGACCAGAACAGTTTGTTGCTACCTGCAACGGTAGGTGCCAACCTACAAGCAACTGTCCATTTTATTACGTAACAAAACGTGACTGCTTCGGGCAACTCGGGGTAAAACCCGAATCCGGGCCGGAATTGAAACTGCGACTTTCCAGTTTGTTGGTTCTAGACCATTTAGCAACAAAGTATTGACTGCGGAGATTATTTAGCGTCGAATGAGACGAGATGAAATTGTGAACTGAATCCATGGAGTACAACTTCTTGACAAATGGTCACTCAGTCAGTCAAAAAAATCCCGTCTTTTATGGAACCCGCAGATCCACTCTCAAAAGTCCATCACCGGATCCTATCCTGGACCAGATGAATCCAATCTACACACTATTTCCCTGAAATTATTTAAAGTTATTCTTCCATCTAAGTCTAACAAGTGATATCTTTCCTTCAGGCTTTCCAAAGAACAGAGCTCACACACAGAGACATTTCACTCGCTTGCAAATCTTTCTGTTTTGCATCAGGCTGAGATTACACAGTTATAAATCACGGTGTGTGGTTTATTTTCAGTACAGGCTACGTAAAATACAAATTACTGTAAGAGTTTTTAATATGGAAAGAAACTACTGTGATATGCTCTCATACACGTTTTACTTGTAAGTTTATTTCAAATATGACTAATATACGCAGAAGTCCCTGTCATATGCTCAATACGCGAGATGTAAGCGATCTTCATCGTCGGCCTGATGATGAAGGCAGCACGTATCTGTGAAACGTCGTTAAACTTCTACCAGACTACATGTAGCAACAACCCAGATCTTCAGAGGTGATGTTTTGGTAGCATATGAGTTTATAGTTCCAAAATGCATAGGTAAATAAATGTTTAATATCGAAAATATTTCCTTTGGCAAACATATCTGGCTGTAATATATTTTATATGCATTGGTCTCTCTTGAAGAGACCGCTGGTGAGACCTAGAAGTAGATGGGAGGATAATCTCATGCGGGATCTATGGGAGATAGGAGTTGACGGAGACTGGATTTTGTTGGGTCAGGACAGGGTCCGGTGGAGGGCTTTGGTTAATTCGGTGATGGACCTTCGGGTTCGGTAAGCCATCTAGTTAGTTAGTTAGTTAGTTAGTTAGTTATGAGGCGTAAAGTGATACAAACAAACACATTCCATGGTGTGGAAACAGAAAACTGAAATGTTGGGTAAAGAACAACCTCGTCTTCGTTCGTATTGAGAATCAGGAATAGTGCTAAATGATAATAAGTTGAAGCATGAATATACACAAAAATTAAAATACAATTCGGTACGAATAAATAGAGGGCATGCTAAAACAGGTTGTGACCTTCACCCTTCAATATCCTTGCCCCTTAACACACTCCATCAACTTTCATTATCGATCATATATCGATAGCATCAATGTTGTGAGTAATTCTTCACTGTCAGCAGGTAAAGACAGTTGATTGGCCAACATCTTGAGAAACATCATGAAAGAAAACGCGGGGAACAATAGTAGCTTAAGCCGTCCTGCCATGCCGTTTCGCTCCAAGCAGAATAACAAGCAGTTCTGGTAAGAATTATGTCTATCTTCCTTTGAATTCTTCAGAATACAGGATATATTCAGGCTATCAGAAACTGTAAATTTATAACATTTACCGATCCACTTGAGTGCATAATTTCCACAAGTACACTAAATGTCGCAGCTAATGTTACATTAGCATTTACGATTTCAGAGTTTCGCATCGTTGCCATGTTTATCGCTGTCGACACGAAATTTGTAGGAAGGTTTATGATCTTATTTCCAGACATCTCACAAGTCTGGCTAAAATGATTCACTAGTTAGCGCAGTCAAACGCCAAGCTAATTACAGATTTCATGTGACTGTCCCGTAACTATCAAAAAGAAATGTCTTATCAAACACTACACAGGCTTACTTTTTAAATTTATGCTATCACGTCATTTCATAACTCTATACTGAATACCACTAGCATCGCTCCCTTTCCATTTGGAGGTCGGTCTGGAGTGAGAAAATTTTTAACGCCGCCTGGAATTTAATCTGTAGAACGGACATAATTTTGAATCGTAAACCTCAGGACGCTTCCTTCGCGTTTCGTTCGACAAACGTAATCTGGACGTTCGATCGTAAACAACAGAACATACAGCAGTATATAGGCCTAATAAAAACTTGACAGTCATGTTTTATAACAGTCATAAATAGCAATCAATAAAATCACCTTCGGATTCTCTAAGCTCATGACAAAACAATGAAACTACGGCAGTAGGCTATGAAGTCAGATGTTATACAAAAAGAAATCACACCCTTAACTTAACATAGCACTCAATAACCAGCATCTAAATGCATGTAGCTACCAGAAACAATATCAGACGTACAGACACGTTGCAATTACGATCTCAAGACGCTAAAATTTAATTATAGCTTCCGCCGTTAGAGCACAATTTTATTTCGAGAGCTGATATCATTTCAGAACTCACCTCGTGATTTACGAGGTGCGATCGGAAAGTTTCAAGACTGTGTCAATAGCGGGCGAACCGGATGTAGTACGAGCTTCTGCCGCTAGGGGGTGCGGACTACATTCATAGTGAATCAGTGTGCCAGCCGGCATCATCGAATTAGCATTTGTTTCTTAGTTACGGGCGTTTTGGTAGTGCATTACACCGACCCTCCTGCGATTTCGGAATGGCGCGTGTGCATCAAATTTTGCCAAAGACTCGCCAAAACGGCTAAGGAAACCTATGAAATGCTAAAGCAAACATTTGGGGAGTCCGCAAACTTTTGTGTGGCATTCACGTTTTAAAAAGGGCCGGCCGAACCTCTGTCGATGATGACGAGCGTTCTGGACGACCATCTTCGAGCACAACGCCCGAAAATGTTACGAAGATCGACGTCGTACCATCAACGACTTGTGCGACATTGTTGGGATAGGCTATGGGACCTGTCAGCTGATTCTAAAGGAAGAACTCCACATGCGACGCATCATGACAACGCACCAGCGCACACCGCCTTCAAAGTTCGGCAGTTTTTGGCCTCAGACACCATGGCCGTCATCCCACACCATCCTTATTCGTCGTGTGACTTCTTCCTCTTCCCAAAGATGAAAATTCAGCTAAAGGGATGGAGATTTGAGACGATAGAAGAGATTCAGGCAGAATCGCAGATGGTGCTTGACAGGCTGACAAAGAAAGATTTCCAGGGATGCTTCCAGGCTTGGCAGCGGCGCTGGGATCGTTGTGTTCACTCCCGGGGGACTACTTCGAGGGTGATGGATGAATTTAATAGCTGAGATAAGTGTACGGGTTTTTATAGGCGCAGTCTTGAAACTTTCCGATCGCACCTCGTCTATCACTGTAGGTTTCGCCTTTAATCTAACAAAGTAGCTGAACAACATCTGTCGAATTCCATTCAAATTTCACGAGATAAAATGGCGGATTTGTGCCCAAAAATAAGGAATCTGACAAACAAGAAATTCCCAGCATCTTCTGAGCCGTGACAGTTCAGTCATAAACATAAGTGGTAGCTGACCGGATAGCAGGTGCTAGATTCCCGGCGATAAATTGTTATTTCCATCATGAACAAAACAATTCCGGGGCCCAAAAATCTCCCCACAGATTGGGCGCCACGTACTGTTTCACTGGAAAAAGAATAGGCCTGGGCGTTAAACTCGGCAGTACATCTGCACACAACGTTAAGAATGCGTGTCCACCGCTCAAGGAGCCTTCAAGGAGCTGTACCTAAACTAAGGGATAATTTTGCTATTTGCCTTCAATAACACTGAAACGTATTTTTCACACCGCTCATTTACGGATTAAAGTTCCTCGGTGTAACACCCTTCCATAACTTACTTTGAGCCACGTATCAGGGTGTTTCAAATAACCACTTTGTACGGCACAGTTGTGATCTTAGGCTAGAGTAATAAACTGAGCTGAAACTTCATATGCCTACAAGGATAACAAGCAACCGCCAAAGGTAAAAAGAAAAACAGCTTCTTACATCTTCTGTGTGTGATCAAACTGCCAGAAGCACATCAAGTATTACGCCTCTGGGTTTCTAATAGTTCTCGCCGATGCTGTCATCCTCTGACGCCTGTAACAATGTCTGCGCACTTAATTGAGACAATGTCATAAAATGCCACAGAAATGTCGGTTCACAGGAAGACTCACAAGGTGGATTCTTAAGTTAAATCTGCCTGTGAAGGATTTTAGGTTTACACAGGGGTGATCCAAAGAAGACGGTCTCGTGGGTTGTAACGCCGTGAAGTCTGGTAGACGTTTACCAACTCATCGCCCTGATGATGGAGGCAGTAATGACCTCTGAAAAGTTGGTAAACTTCTACCAGACCACATGGTGCTATAAGCCAGAAGACAGTCATCAACAATTATTTCCTCAAACAGCACTGACCAATTGATATTTATAATGACGAGTAAGTGTTTTATTTGATGCAGAAACTGAATGTTTATACTCTTTTATTTTTCAATATAAATGCATTCATCCTGACGTCCTAAACTTCAAAAATATTTTTAAAATATTCAATGTCTGTTATCAAAACCATGGAATTAAGATGTATCAGTTCCACGGACTGATACTGTCACACTAAAATATTCTATCGCAACTAATAAGACGCGTTCCCATCGAGCAATGCACAGTCAATCACTGAAACCTCCAAACTTCTTTAAAACAAATAAAGACCATAAATATGTACGGATGCAGAGCATGAAACCTGTTGATGGTTTACAATTTACAATTCCATTATCTGGTCACCTTATTGAGCGTGTTACCTCTTCTCCCACTCCGTTTACGTACTTAGCTTTCCAACTCCCCGCCCGAGTATCTGTCTCTCTGCCATGATCTCAAGGCGGTTTCCGACCAACATCCTCCTCACCTGTTCAGTCAGCCCTCAACAGCGGTTCGTGCTAACAGTGCGCTCCGAAACTTCGCAATGAATCACTTGCAGTGCCGATCTTAACATGACATCACTGTGACTGCGAATTTAACCAGAGACTGGATTAACATTAGTGTTTGTGATTAATTCTTGTTGTGCTTACCGATTGATTGTACTTCGTGACGTGATACCCTTCCAGAGTCTAGCGAGAAAGCGTTGAACGAAAACAAAACACCAACAACGGACGAGTCTTTCGCCTTTCTGGATGTACTTCCAACTTGAGGTAAGATAGAGATACTTATTCTTTCACAGCTACTGAGTCAAGAGGCGATATGTCACAGTTTATGGGCAAAATTCTCCAACAAATGGCGTCATTTATACATTCACGGGGTCCGCTACAGAATTTGACAACCACTATCACGCAAATAACATGACGTCAGACGAATTCCTGTAACAGAACTAATCTCATTACAGACTGAACGTTTTGTCTGACATATACATATCTATCTAGTCAATATTTATAGAAGGAAATTTTATTTATACCTAAATGAAATGTGATATTTTTCGTTTTTCACATATGGACTAAAATTATTGAACAAACGCTTGAGTTTGGACAGATTTCATCAAACGCCATATATTCAGAGAAGATCTATGTATAACGTGTCTACAGATGGGCATTAACGCAATTCTTCAAAAACACTCTTTAAGTTACAATGAACACGAGGATAAAGGGCACTTCGAGAGGGTTCTTTTAAAGGAATGCGTGAACGCGTGTGCTCAAAAGTTACAGCAGCGGAGAATGAAGACTATTACGTCATTTTCACACGAAGAAGATGACATAAATTTTAAGTTTTACTAGTTAACCTAATTAATAAGCATGTGCTAAAGCGAACAGTTCAGGCTGCTGGTTGATTTGGCCATCAAAAATCTGACAGCCCTTCTCGTTCCTCTATCCTAGTAATTCCCAAACTGTGTTCCGCAAGACCCAGGAGTACCGTGGACTACCCAAATGTAATATTATAAGAAACGCATTTGAGATATACGGCCCATACAGACGCTACATAACCTGCTCAGTTAATAAAACGCTCTTAAGTATTAAGGAAAATGAGAACTATAGTTGTTACCAGTAAATAGGATTACTAATCAGTTATTTTGCTACGATGAACTGTATTTAATGATAATGTTTAATAAACAGACCGTGCCATGTCATCACAGAATTTTCCTTCACTGTTCTCCTTAGTATACCACGCATGCTGTAAAATTTAGCTAATTTATAAATTATTCTACTCCTCCATATTTTATTCTGGTTCGTTATTTGTATTCTGTTGTCTGTAAAAAGCGTCGACATCACAGACTTCGGCCACAGGCCTGGCCTAACTTACATATTCTAGACCCACAGAAGCACCAATAATAAAAATGGATGACACATTACGAGTTACGAAACAAGACTTTTTATTGTCACGTAATTTCATCATACTGTTGCGACTCAAAGGGACAGCGAAGACAGAGATGGGTAGGTACAAAGCAAAAATGTTATGTAACTGCAAGGAGTGGATGCAGTTTAGATTAATGTGCCCGACCTTTAGCCTCCTACATGTACTGAACTTGTCGTGAAGGTGAATATTTCCCTGTGTTAAAAAGAAATTCCCGGAAATTATTTAAGTGCTTTATGCATTATCTGTATGAAATGCTAAATTAAATTAATAATGCAGAGGTCACGACAATTCGCCACTCTGACCATCGCGGTGTCTCATGCTCGCAACTGCTTACCAGATTTGAATTTAATTTTGGCTCTTAAATTTGTGCATCCTGTTGGGCCAGTAAAGTTGCTTAAAAATTATTCATAGTACGAAAAATGTATCTTCTTATTATTATTACGCCGTCTTCTTGCGAAGGTTGGCGATCCAAATGTCCAGCGTAGATTTGGAGACTGCAGCTCTGAAGATGTCAATTCATGTGCAGACAAACTTAACCAAATTTTTATTTTCGTCAGCCAATAAGAACCCCCATCCTTTCATGAAATTCTTTCTATCAGTGGTCTCTCCTGTTTTCTCTGAGATAATTCATTGCAGTTCACATGCTCATAATCGTCCCTTCATATCATTAACCTCCCCTCTTTATGTTCGTCTTCTACGTGCAATCTTCATGTTTTTCAAAAATCCTCGTACCCAGTTATAGCTCCCCATTGGGACAGGACACGATGAGGTTCCTCAATAAGTCCACTGGTTTTGTTAACAACACAGGTAACTAATAATATTAATATTGGCCGTCTTCACACAACAACACAATAAACACGTCTCAAACCATCTAAAAAGTATACATTTTTGTCGTATTTGGATAAATGTCTACGTTAGGATTATGTTAAAAATATTATTTGATTCAGTCACATGACGCTCCAGTATAATCTAATACAGGTAAAAACATACAGTATAGAATCTAGAAAAATTATCGTCTTCCCTCAAGAATTATATTAAATTCTACAGCAATAATTAAACTACTTATATAAGCTGTGACGCCGCGTACTAATCTACAAGTCGACTCGCGTAACAACCCAGAAGACAACAATGGGCAGCATTTTAGTTTCTTTGGGCTGCTTTCAATTAAAGCAGGCCAGTTGCAGGCATGGGTTTGTAGTGGGTAATAAAAACTACAATTTATCGTACTATTGTCGTGTCCATGCAAGCCAGTTCTTGGCTACCACATAGGTTTCCACAATGCACAAAGCGATTAGTCCACAGCTGTGTCGTTTCTTCGAAATTCTAATGCACAGCGCGATCACTGAGCGGCGCAACTGTTGCAGATATTTAAAAAAAATATGTGCGATTACACATCGTTTCCTTTTATTAAAAATAATTTAATGATATGTAAGTATAATTCAGAGTTTGTTTCCTGCAATGCGTTAACTTTAATTGTCGTTTAAGATGAAAATCTACAAAGAGGTAGACTTGTAGAAGATGATGGAATTTCATTAGGGATATTTCAGTGCAGAGAAAATTTTCAAGGCGAGGTACGGGTACTTTCGGTAATTATGTTGATAAATGGGAATACGCCTAAAATTTCAGGCAAGCAAAGACGTAGAAACAAGGCAAATGGAGAAAAGAAAGGTTTCCGTATGGATCAAAATCAGAAATAGAGAGGGATTCATACAGCTGGGACCGCATTTGGAACCTGCAGTCCACGTTTTAACTCTTGCTCAAGATATATTGTATGAGAAGAATATTTGCTACAAACACAGCAGCAACTTCACCTTCTTAACATTTTCGTGTCATCCCAGCCCCGTTCTGAAACGTCACGTTCGAATGCCATCATCATTGTATCATCTGCAAACCTAGGTATTAACGTTCTTACAGCAACAATAACAGCTATAAACGGACGTTACACAGTTCCTAGTACGTTATCGACCCATCTCACGTTTTAAAGACTCGGGTTCACTCTTTTTCCCCGGGTATGGGCTTACACGACGAGTTTATTCGTGATTTTTCAAGACGGCATAATTTAGGCATGTCACGGTCGCCTGCTCACTCCTTAATCTCCTTCTTTTTAGCAGATACACGAGTCACTGTTTTCATTAACCTTGTCATTAAGAGTGGGAAGACGAGAATAAGAAACAAAGAACGTTTTCCCCTCTAGACAGGTGACTCAGCCGCGGTAAAGTGTACCAAGGCAGGCGACTGCCATCCACATATTTGGAAAGCACACAGACTGAGTTTCGTTGTCGCATATTTAAATACTTTTTTTAGCATTCAAAGATTATTGCATTTCAAACCTCCTATGACAGCTATGTCAAACTTGATGTCTGCTAAGGGCCGGATGAATGGAGGCGACTGTTCCAGCGGCCATCACAAGGGCGGAGAAAATCTTAACCGCCTATTTTTACTAATTCCAGGCTTAAGAATAAGATATATTTGTCATCCCTGTATTTTCCCACTAACGTGAATTTCAATGGAACGCTTTAACCTAAATATAAAAATTAAGTCGGACTGCGATATATCGATATATACATTACTTTGAATGATCGAGACAATTAAAAATACTCCAGGCAGAAGAGGTTCTCAGAAACTAATGGCATTTCTATCTTCGCCAACACACACAGACCCTCCCAGCTTATTCTATCGGTACCGGGACGCATTTCCCCAAGAGTAAAAGCAACCGAAGCGAGAAGCTAAGAAGTCTCCTCTATCTATAGCCACCAACACTCCACAGAGCGGGCGCTTCGTTTCTGAGACAGAACAGCCTGGCCTTCCAAACCATACGAAGCATCGTTACACAAATTCAACACATTTAATTCTAGCCCGAGGACTGACCTGTCTGCTCCATATTCTGGACGCGTGCGGATCGAATTCCAGAGACACTCGTCCAGACTGGTTTTGATTTTGATTTTCTCAGTCACTGCACGCTGCTCCTGCCTTAGTTGGGTCACCAGCTTCGATTTTTTAGGGACAGCGTTGTCCTTGATATTCTCATCCGTGGATCGATTGATTCTCGTATTACAGTTTTGATTAATATGATGAAGTGAACTGTCGAAATTAATTTAAAACCCGACAGAAGTGGCCAATTTTAAGGCACTTCCTTAGCTTAGTCTGAAGGACACGAAAAAACGTCAAGCACGTGAGACGACATCGGGCTGAGATTCGAACGTGGGACCTCCCGAATATGGAGAAGGAATGTTAATCATTCGAGCGTTACATTCGGTTTTTGGTTCAAACGAAATAACCGAATTTTCATGTCCTTCAACACGGAAATGAGGCGACTAAAGTCCTAGGCCGAGCGCTAGCGAATCCTGCCTGGGATAGGCCAAGGATGTTCCTCTCAGTTTCTCTCTGACGTTTTATAATAATGGAGTTCTGCGCGATCCGATCGTCCATCCGAAAAGTTGCATTGGCTGTCGAATGAATGGATGTTGTCCCAAAATTAAAATTAAATCTAAGGTGGAACTGGTGATATGAACACCTTGGTGACTTCATTGCCAGTCTTTGCATGTCTCTTCAAACAGTGACCGCCGAAAGTAAAACCAAAACAATAAATCAACGAAACTATGACGTATTTGTAGCTGAAAGTAAGGAGCGTTTGCTTTGTTGAAAGTTTGTCGCGAGGAAACGTTCAGTGCAAAAGCGGCGTTAGGTAACAAGACTTCGCTGTGTCATTGACACTCTGAGCACGTGTCTGTTTCTTGGGCCGAGTTCAGTTACGTCACTCCATTATTTTAAATGCAAATATGCAGCGTCTAATGGAGTGTGTTAGGATCATAATGAATCGTGGAATCTGGTATAATATAGGAAAAAG